AGGAAGAATATTCGATACCGCAACTCGAAGTTGCATCGTCTCATGGCGAAAATATAGCAGAAGCGAAGGAAGAAGAAGAAGAAAAACTTGCTCAGAATCCTGTGGAGACTACTGAAATTACTAATGATAACGCTAATGAATTGCAAGACGATTTGTTAGACAAGTCTGGTCTGTTTGTCAAGCATGATTTACGATCTCGTAAAATTTTATTACAAAAAGAGAAAGAGAAAGAAAAAAATGGGATAAGTGGCGATGGTGAAGAAGAGAAGCAAGAGCAAGAACAAGAACAACATGAAGAGATTGTAGAAAAAGAAAGTGAAACTTTGGTGGAGCCACACATCCATATAACACCCAACAAAACACCTCGAAAAAGGGGGAAATCTGACTCTGCACCTTCGAAACCACCATCAGCAAACCGGCGACGTTTAAGCAAACGAAAAGAAGACGAAGATTGGGATCCAGCAGAGGCAGACAACGAATCAAATTCTGACAGCGAACATGAATCCCCAAAGAGAACCTCACGATCGACATCCCAAAGAGTCAAAAGACCTAGCAGCACGCCCACAAGCAAAAGTCATTCTATTTCTCCAACTAGTAGTCGTCGACAAACTCCTAACGCAAAAACGCCATCATTCCCAACGACTCGCCTTTCTAGTAGCACACTAAATATTTCGAAAAAGACGCCGACAAATGCAGCATTGCGTACAAGGCGTAATAGTGGTAGTGTACAGACACCGCCTAATGCAGCATCGCCTACAAAGCGCAATAGTAGTGTACAGACACCGACTAATGTAGCATCGCCTACAAAGCGCAATAGTAGTGTACAAACACCGACTAATGTAGCATCGCCTACAAAGCGCAATAGTAGTGTGCAGACACCGACTAATGCAGCATCGCCTACAAAGCGTAATAGTAGTGTACAGACACCGACTAATGTAGCATCGCCTACAAAGCGCAATAGTAGTGTGCAGACACCGACTAATGCAGCATCGCCTACAAAGCGCAATAGTAGTGTACAGACACCGACGCCTGCTAAACGCAATAATGCACAGACACCGACTAATGCAGTATCGCCTCCAAAACGCAGTAGTGGTAATGCACATAGTTCTCCCAGACGTACTAGTTCTAGAACGAAACGTTCTACCACTCCAAAGATTAATACTACACCTAGAACTACACGGAGCTCGCGCGGTCTAAGTAAAACTCAAACTCGAAATCAAACTAAAAATAAAAATGCTAATGATGAAAAAAATGAAGATGTGCCGAAATCTCCTGAGATAACGACTAATATAAATGAAAATGTAGAAACACCAGCGGATCAAGGAGCAACTGTCGCAATAGCAATAGAACCACAAAAACAAATCGATGAAGTAATACCAGTTAATTTAAACCCAAGTAACGAAGGAATATCGAATGAAGACAATCTTGTTCAAAAAACACCTATAAAGAGTAAACAGCCGAATAAAGAAGATACTACTCCAAGAAGCGGGGACAATAAACATCCAGAAAGTGAAACACACACTCCTAATAGACTTTTCACTCCACAACGTGGCCCTAATGTAGTTGAAGTGACCGCAAAGAGTCCAGATGCCCTTGAAAAAGCCGTTTCGCTTTTGAAACCAGATTTTGTTGTTATACGAACGATTGATAATATAAGCGAGTCATCAAATCCCTTATATGAGCTAGAACCCGGTGAAGCGTTGGATACTCCGCCTCCTTCCTCCGTTAACATTAGTCGGACATCATCACGTCTTTCTCCGCCTATTTCCATGAACACGAGTCAAACAGTGTCAGGCGAAATGTCGGATATCCCAGTGGCAAAATGGTTAGATAGTCATTGGTCACAATTAAAAGCGATATATATGGAGACACGGAAGATTTATGTGCCAAATGGAAATCACGGTTATGGAAATGAGCAGATATATGATGAAGTGGTACAAAAATTCTATAATGCTGATGTAAATCATAATAATTTTGATAGGTAAATATAATGAATATTTTAATTTGTTGATTGGTGTCTATTTAATCTTATTAAATTTGAATTTGCCGTATAATTAGTCAAAATCTTAGAAAACGAGTCATAGCCATCGAATCAGTTCATCGCACTGAGAAAAAATTGAATCCACACAGACGCGGAAGTACCGATAGCGCCAGTTCCCGAGGAACCTTTAGACGCTATAATTTTGCATATCAAAATATGCGTGAAATTGATTCGATTAATAGTAAGCGAAAATTTAGTAATTCCGAGGTAAATAAATAAATATTTATTTATTTGATGGTAATTATGTTTGGCACTAAGTTTTTTATTGTCAACTATTAGGCAAGATCAAATTCAGGTCAAGAAGATCCTATGAAACGTCGGAAAACTAATGAAAGCTCTGCTTCGAGCTTTGTTGATACTCAGCATCCTGATATTGTGCCGAACACAAAAGCACCGAATACTCCATCGATACAAACTCCTAGTCGTCTTTCCGGTTTATTTGGATGGCTTAGCTCACGTGCATCTACACCAGAACAATTGGAAACACATCTATCGTCGTATAGCGATAATGACGATGATGATATTGTTAATTCTTCACCGTCGCCTGCTGAAAAAAAGGCAAAGATACAAGAAAATACTAATAATAATAATGACGGAATAGATCTAATTGATAATAATGATTTCTCACAAGTTGGTACAAGTTCTTCACTTTTTGAGTCTGCATCATCAATGCAGAATGATTATCAAGAAGAAACAAGTGGAGTAGATGAAGAGAATACGACTGTTACAACTCCGATGGAAATTGAGTTTTCCGAAGATACTATTGAAATAAAAACATCTTTGTCAACGCCACAATCACAACAACCAGCGCCTCCGTCATCTCAAAAGGATACACCAGGTTTTCTTCGAAGGCTTTTTGGTTAATTGACTTTGAGGCGTTTTCAGTAATTCATACACACGCACGTGTATATATATATATATATATATAAAATTTGTTTTTTTTCTTTTAAATTGATTCTATATATACTCCCAATCAGTAATGTTCACTTTCTTTGTAAATTTTGTATTGCACAAAGAGAGTAATATGTATGTGAGGAGGATGATGCGAGCGAAAACAAGAGATTATTTATTTCGATGAAAATTTTATTATTATTATTACTATCTTATATGACGTTCTCTCAAATACATGCATATTACCTTTTTTATTATTCGTAAATATGTGTATATATCCGTTTCAGTTTATGCGTTATTCTTTTTTTTATTTTTTGATCTTTCTTTCTTACAAAATATTCATCAATAATTAAATGCATATATATTTTGATAATACGTTATTACAAAAGTTCTATTGGAAAATCTAACTATACTTGGGTATAATACCTTTTGTGTTTTGTCATCCCATTGTGTAATTGATCACTTTGTTTCAAAACATGGATAATATCGATAATAATTACAACAATGACAATAATAAGCGTGTCGAACTATTTAGTAAGTATCCGATTTAACATCGACGCATCGCATGAATGATAAATTAAATCCGTTGTTTTATGTATCTGAAAATGAATCTAGAGAATATTATCGGATTTCTTTTAGGTAAATAATTAATATCGTTGTCATTCAATAACGATAATACTCGATCAATAATTAATTGAGTTCGTATTCTTTATGACAAAGTTGCATTGTGCTGGGGCTTCACTAACCCATTTATCAAGAATGGAAGCGCTGGCCTAGAAAATATTAGACGGGATACATGGGTCAAACAAATTGTTTCTGAAGTGTGGTACTTGATTACAAAATGGCAGGTATGACGGTTAACCAATCATTATTGATTTTCACTAATGTAACTATTGCTAATGTCTTTGAAATAAAGTATATCGTGCCACTTTTACTGAATTTGAGTGGATCCGTTGTTTATTATTATACATTAGGACAAGCTGGTCAGCGTAAATTACGAATATGAAATTCTTATATTTAACTTGATATGGAATAATATAAGATCTTTTTTATTCTAGATCTTTCTCTCGCGGTTCCAATCACCAATTCGCTCACCTTTATATTTACGACGTTGGCGGCTGGATTGCTGGGTGAAGAGATTGGGACAAAAGGTAACCTTCCTTTATTTGTTTGTTTTTTTTAAAATTTATTTTTATGCAAACAATTAAATCATCGAAAATTCTAGAAACGTGGATCGGAATGTCGATGGTGGTTGTGGGTGTTGGATTATGCGTTAGTAGTAAAGTCGAGTAAAATATAGCTTCCCATGCATAATATGGTACTTGTATTATGGTCCGGTGCAAAAAGATTGGTTCACCAATATAAAATTAATAATTGCTTCTAATAAAAATCATTCAAGTTTTAACTAATCTTTATAATTTTTTTATATTAAATAAAAAATGATCTAAATTAACTTTTTAATTATTATATTATATTTTAATTTAATGATAAATGAAGCATTACTTTACTAAATAAAATTTTTTTTTAAAAAAAGACATTTTAAATATTATCACTATCAATTTGCAATATTAGAACTTCAAATTATGCAAGCAGGTTGCCCTAGATTTGATAAATATATATTCTAAATTTCATAAAAATTGAATCAGTAGTTATAAAGATATTAAGGTTCAAAGTTTAGTAATTAAATTATTTACTATATAATTTTTATGTTAATTTTAATCAAATTTTATATAGTAAATTTAAGAAATAATAATTCAAAAAGTTTATTATTAGTAAAATTTTTTTTAAAAAAGATATATAATAAAAATTTTTACATTTAAATTTAAATAAATCCCAATACCTAATAACTTAATTAAATAAGACAGAATTAAAATTTTATTTTGAATAATCTATTAATATATCTGATGTACCAATCTTTTTGTACCGGACCATATAGAATAATAATGGACAAATAATTAGGTTATTTAATTATATATTAGATGTGCGATAAATTTAGTGAAGATTCTTATAGGAAGATTCTATGATGTCTTTGTTCTTTATTAATGTAATTATGCGCGAGATTGAAATAACTGGATCATATATTAGAAGTGCGCCTACATAAATATAAATATTGTAGACATTACACGCACACACGTATGTACATATATGGTAATAATTAATTTTTATTGGCAAATATATTTATTTTCAATTTCAATTCTTAATTAAGCATTTTTTCTTTATAATATACCAACCAACAAAATATATTATCGGCATATACACGCATAAATGCATATCCACCACATGCACGCACACATACGCGACTGTGTTCGCGCGTGCACAAAAATCAAATATATCGGGTATCACCAACCACCAAATGAACCGTTTATTCTTTCACACTCTTTTTCTTATTACCATCGTGTTTCTCTGTCCTCTCTTTTCTTCTTTTTCATTCCTTTATTACTCCTCTTCCTTCTCCTCCTCCTCCTCTGTTATTAATAATAATAATAATAATAATAACTCGAAAAAGAAACGCTTCGCCGAGTATTCTTATATCCAAAGCAAGCGATTTCTTATCTTCCCCTTCCTCTAATCTCGACTAC